AATTTGTCGACAGTTCTTGGTGATTTTTCAATATTCAAAATCTAATTTAACCCCAGCTAGGAGTGAAGAAAAACTCCAAGTCCGGCTGTTGTCCTACTTGCGTTTAAGGGGGTTTTCGCTGGTCTGCTAAGCCCTAGAAATGTGTTAGTAAAGACGAAGAAAAGCCGGTGAACCCCCCCGAGGGCACCTGACAAGGCTGGAGAGCAAGAAGCCAGCCAACAATTGCACACGAGGCCATCAGAGGAGAAAATTTCCCCTTTTTACCCAACAAATGTCATCCAAAGACCTTCAGAAAAGGGTCCGTTCTCTTGAGCTGGCAAAAACACTTGGAGAAGACCATCCTTCACCCTGTCCTATATACCGCCCCTGATTTTTTTTTTTTTTTTTCCCAGTAGCTGTAGTTTTGTTAAATTCTGCTCCTTCTGCCATAAATTAGGATTTATAAGGTGTTTCTGGAAACACCCGCCATAATTAAACACCATGGGAACGTTCTGAGGACGGAAAGTGTTTCACAAACACTCATTAACAATTTTTGCCTATGCAAAATAGTTGTATTATGATAATAACCGTAAGTGACGCTGAGCGTTGGGCAATAGCATCGCCTTAAAGGAGACATATCGAGGCCGTTTTCTGGCGGTGTCCTAATTAGACTGCAATTCGCTACGTCAGGTTTTGGATTATTCGACTTTCACTTGTCGTTTGTATAAAACCAGAAATTCAGAGTTCCTAATAGTGTAAAAAAAAAACAAACCAAAACAAAACAAAAAAAAACAACAAACCAAACAGTGGATCTATACGCTAAGACTTTAATTAACTTTTGCTCCCTATCTGGACCCATATTTCTAGTTCCCATTTGCCTAATGGGCAGAATTCTTGCTGATATGTGTTCAGATGATGTCAGCAAGCCGAGGTTCTTTGAAGAGGATGAACGCTGCAGACCGACATCAGCAGAGCAGCCGTCCCCAAGCGTTTTCCTTTGATTTTTTTTTTTTCCTTCATTAGCAAGCGCTCTTGACTCAGCTTTTCAAACAAACTCCTACACTCTGAAGTTGAACAGGTTTGACCGCATAAACCATATCTTAGCTACGCAACAGCCTTTATTACGGCTGTCCCTGCCTTAACACAAGGATATAATTTTTTCTGAAATAATTTAAAATGAATAGGTGCTGACAATATTAACATTCTGTATTGTGGTGGATGCGGTTGCATTACTCTTTGCCCTTTGTTATTTCGTTAGTCACCCTAGAGCACAACACAAAATGGGGGGGATAAAAGAAAATTCTGTATACTACAGCGACATATTATGGGAGAGTTTTGAAAAGAGTTAATTATGTTGTCGTTAAGGGACTGCATCTTAATGTGACAGTGGGGATTCAGTTCCTAGCTCTGTCAGGGATCTCCCAAATGCCACAGAGATCAGAAGAAAGGGGAACCCGCAGGGCTCGGCCAGAGAATGTTTTTGTAGGGGTGAGTTTCAGACAATATATGTGCTTTAACACCCGTGTTTTAAAACCGGCGGGTTTGGGGTGCATCCTCGGAGGATTTCCAGATAGAAATTACCAAAAGGAGTTAGAACTAAGAGACACTGAAAATTTAGGGAGGAGAAGAAGAGAATCTAGACTGTGTTTTCAGCTGTGCTGTGAGCTCCTCTGACACACATGACACTCATCCTGCTTTGTTAGGACCAAATCATGAAAACCGGAGGCTCCCTCTGCCCGTGGCGGGTACCAACAGGCTCAGCGCTACCCCAGGCAGTACTGGTGGACTTAACTGGGCCCCTGTGCACGATGGGCGGCTCCCCCCACACACACACAGAGGCTCCCTCCAGCGGCACAGGCCAGCGGGAGGACCTTGTCCAAGCGCGAGTGCAGCCCATCCATCTTCCCAGAAATCGGTTCACCACGCTCGCTCTTCCCTTCGGAAGGGAATTGAAAAACGTCGAGCATATTCAAATGAATTAAAACCGTCACCGTCATGGTAATTATGACATAATGCATTTCTGACATTCATTATTCTTATTTGATGGGGCACCCCTAAAGATCCCCCGGGCTGTTGAGCTTATCAGGAATATTCTGGAGACATCAGGAAACGAGATTTCAAAGCTGTTCACCAACATCTGTTAGTGTGTTATGCATGGAAATTATTTTATGTTAACAGGAATAATATCCTAGTGGATTTAGACTGCTCTGACCTCACGCAGAATGGAAGATGTAAAACACTTATTTAATCAACGCCTCATTTTAAGCTTCATAATAGGACATGGCTTCATTTTTATTTCAAAGATAACTCTGTGGATGGCTTTGCTCTTTAAAGTGTTTGCACCAGATACTTTCTCTGTCTTAAGAATATATCTGTAAGCCTCATTAACATGATATCAGATGGAAAAAAAAAAAAAAAAAAAAAAAAAAAAAAAAAAACACAAGCCCTGGTCTTTCTAGTGATTTACGTAGGCATGGAGACTAGATGTTAACTCGTATTTCCAACAAGGAAAATAAAACTTGTGTGTGCTGACACACCGCGCCACTGACATCTCTCGAGCCTCCCTGCGCAATCGTGTTTTTAGCAAAGATAATCTGCCAGAAGTCTATTAATTCTTTGGGTATTTAATTAAATCAGTAGAGCAAAACCAGGAAATTGGAAGATGAAAGAACTTGCAAGTTACCATCTGCATTTTGTATTATTACCCAACTCAGCTTTAGATAATCATAAACAGTGAGCAAAACAATTACTGCAACTACAGGAGTAATACATGCAACGAAGTTTGCTTCATAAGTAATTAAGGCCCTTTACACAAAGGGTGTCTCAGCTCCTCCGGGCAATCGGAGAAAGGGTATAAAGCTCTCTCCGTGCAAGACTCCTCCACCTACTTCTCTTGACTTGTTCTCTCCGGTACACTGAGTAAGTCCGATTTGACAACTATAAAAACCTTGAGTTTAATTTTGCTTTAGCATGAATTTTTGTTACAATCGGGTCGAAATCCTGCATGAGTATTGCGGCTCTCAGAGACATTAGTAAGCATCTTTCTACGGATGTTTTCTATGCTGGATAAAGGGCGCAAAAAATATATATATATATAAAAAAAAAAATAAAAGCAAGGGCTTTTCAAGACTGCTTTGGACTGTTAATTTTATGGGAGAATTAGGAAGTTAAATACCATCTGAAAAAAATATCAGAAAAGCTCCAAAAATTAGATTTTAGCGCTCTTTTTGCATTTTGATTAGGGGATTCAACGGTTGTTACATGGTGGGGGGTGTTTCACAGATTGTGAAAGTATCAAATTCAGTTCGGTGTAGCTATAGACACGCAGTTATTACTGTTGTTCGTTAACTACCAATCCGTAGCTGATTTAATTGGGGTCACAGGCTACACCAAGTCATGATTAGATACTAACTCCGGATCTAAGCTTTCATCTCTAATTATTAAAACTTTGCTAGTAATTTAACGTGTTTTTTACAGAGATTAAATTAAGACTCTTTTCAGGTCAAAGCTATGTTCTAACTTAAGGGTATTTGGGGGGGGGGGGAAACGCAATGAATGTTTTGCCTTTTGGGTTGGGTTTGGTTTGCTTTTTTTTTTTTTTTTT